AGTTCCAGCTATTTGTTGCCAGAATTTGCTGGATTTATTGATTCCCCCCCCCCCCCAAGAGACCAAGAATCCTGATTTTCATGCAAGACCTTTTAATTTCTAACTGTTGGGGAAAAAAAATGTAAATCCCTCTGAGCAGACTAGCCAAAACAATCTTGAAAAAGAAACAAGTTAGAGGTCTCACACCTCCTGATTTCCAAAGTTACTACAAAGCTACAGTAATCAAAACAGGGTAGTAATGGCATAAAATAGACATACAGACAAATTGATTAGACTAGAGATCCAAGAAATAAACCTTTGCATATATGATCAAATGATTTTCAACAAAAATTCCAAGACCATTTAATGGGGAAAGGACAGTGTTTTCAACAAATGATGTTGGGAAACTGGATATTCACATGCAAAAGGACAAAGTTGGACCCTTACCATACACCATGTGGAAAATAAACTCAAAATGGATCAAAGACCTAAATGTAAGACTTAAAACTATAAAATATAGGGGGAAAGCTTCCACTGGTTTCTTAGATATGATACCAAAAGCATAGACAGCAAAAGTAGATAAATTGGACATCAAAATTAAAAACTTATGTGCAACTACAGTCACAATCTACAGAGTCAGAAGGCAACCTACAAAATGGGAAAAATATTTGCAAATCATATCTCTGATAAGAGCTTAATATCCAGAATATAAAAGGAACTTCTACCATGCAACAACAGCAAAATAGCCCAATTAAAAAATGGAGAAAGGACTAGAATAGACAGTTTTCCAAGGAAGATATACAAGTTGCCAACAAACATATGAAACGGAGCTCATCACTAACCATTAGAGAAATGCAAATCAAAGCCATAATGAGCTATCACCTCACACCCATTAAGATGACTGCTATTAAGAAAAAAACCCCATTGTCACTTTGTGAGGGGTTAAAAGGATAACTATTGCATTGTTTTGTACACCTGAAACTAATAATAATAATAAAAGTAAAATAAAATAAAAAATAAATAAAAATAAAAGTAGGAATTATAGACCCTCTAGAGATGCCGAGGGCCCATGCAAGATAATGGAATGACAGAAGAAGGAAAAGGCCTGCTTGTCCTTCCTTTGCAGAATTTAAAATCAAGTTTAAATTCTCTTAAAGGCTTTAGATCCAAAACCCTTTGTATTTGGTAGCAAGAAGTGAAATTTTAAATTTCAGTGCCCAAACGCAGAGCTCATGGAGGCATATGCAGACAAAGCTTCCAGGGGCTTCACTTCTTAGATGAAAAGAACTCCAGAGCAGCCTGCAGTATTTTACATAAATAATAGCTACACTTGGCAAAAAAGAAAGAAAGAAACCTCATACCAGAAGATAACGAGTATTGTCAAGGAGGATGTGGATAAATTGGAACTCTTGTACCCTGTTGGTGGGAATGTAAAATGGTGTAGCTGCTATGGAAAACAGTAGGTGGTTTTTAAAATATTAAAAATAGAATTATGACTCAGCAATCCCACTTTTGGGTACATATTCAAAAGAATTGAAGGCTGAATCTCAAAGAGATATTTGTACAACCATGTTCATAGAAGCATTATTCATAATAGCCAAAAGGTGGAAGCAATTCAAACGTCCATTGACAGATGAATAAAGTGTGGCATATACCTGCAATGGAGTGTTATTTAGCATTAAGAAGGAAGTTTTGACACGTTACAAGTGAGTGAAACTTGAGGACATTATACTAAGTGAAATAAGCCAATCACAAAAGAGAAATGATGATTTCACTTATGTGAGATATCTAGAGTGGTCAAACTTATGGAAACAGGAAGTAGAATGGTGGCTGTCAGGGGTTGGAGGAAGGGGAAATGGGGAGTTGTTTAATACAGAGTTTTGGTTTTGCAAGATTAAAAAGTTCTGGAAATAGATTTCACTATAATATGAATATACTTAACTACTAAACTGTAAACAGTACTTAAAAATGGTAGTTTGTTATGTGTATTTTGCCACAATTAAAAATAAATTTTAATTTGAAAAACAAAACAAAGCAAAACAAAACAGCCCTGAGCAGGCCAACAGAACACATTTATCATGGTGTACAGTTTGAAGCTGTTGTCTTCCCTCAGTGAATCTCAAACTTGAGCATGCACCAGGATAACCTGGTGTGCTTAAAACAGATTGCTGGGCACCAACCCCAGAGTTTCTGAATCAGCAATCCTGGAGTGAGGCCCGAGAATTTGCATTTCTAACAAGTTCCCAGGGGTCAGGAGGCTACTGCCACAGATCCAAGGATTACACTTTGAAGGCTACTACATCAGATGATACTGCAGACTACTTTCTGTTAATTTCTATGTATCTGTGATAAATCTTTCGTTCTGGAGTCCGTGAAAGTCTTAAGTGCCTGCCATGCATGTCCTTAGCCATGCATTGTGTCACATTTCCTTTCTTCTCTGGCCAGTAATATACTGTAGACAAAGGGGTAGACCTAATAGACTGCGTGTGGAAACTCTGCCCAATTTTGCACAATATATGGTGAATAATCCAATTAGAATAATCCAATCCAGTTTTGAATGCAAGACAAACAAAGGCAGATCAGGTAGAAGCAGAGGCTAAAATAAGCTTAATTTGAGGAAACAACAAAATTGGTCAAGTCCCCAGTCACCTCTTTTTCCCTGAAGCAGTATGAACTGCATTGCACTGCTATGAGTTTATGTTATGTGGCTGCCGAGATGCTTCCTGTGCTTCCCCACTTCCTGGTGTGAACCAAATATAAACCTGCATCTTCTCTGCTAACAAGGGCAAGTCTCTCGTTTCCTGGAAGATCCTCTCACCCTATTTTGATAGCTCTTGTATCTCCATCATACTGTTGAGTCTCGTCTCTCTCTCTTTTTTTTTTTGGACGACATCATTTCTAAGGTTTCTTTTCAGCTCTAACATTGTGTGTGTGTGTGTGTGTGTGTGTGTGTGTGTGTGTTTGATGATTTGCAATTTATAAATTGAATGCAAGGTATTTTAGTAAGCTAAAATGAATTGTGGCATATGATTGTATTTATTCTCAAAATAGTTAAACATTTGAACAGTTGGAATTTATTCTACTGATGTAATATACCGTATTTCCCCATGTATAAGACACACCTTAAAATGTATTACATAAAGTTATTGAGCTCAAGTTTTAGTCATCATAAAATTCATACAACTCTTCATCACTTGCAGGAAATGCAAGTAAAAAAATCTACAACCACTGTATAAGACGCACCCAGTTTTTAGACCCCAAATTTTTCGAAAAAGGTGCGTCTTATACATGGGGAAATACGGTTACTCTATTCACATGCTGATGAAACTCAATATAAAATAATATAAATATACAAGAAATAGGTTAACTAATCACCTGGTGTGATATAATGGGTAGACATTGTAAGTTCATTATATTTTCAAAGGCTTCACTTGCCAGCCTGTTAGCAAATATATGAACTATGATAAATCAGCCTAACGGTAAGCTTTGATCTTGTTTACCATTGTAACTTAGCTTGTCAACAATTCACGCTAATACAGTAATGTCAGTGAAGAATAAATCAGCCTATGCATTAAATTTTGTTAGGAAACAACATCAGATACTTTTAAATGCTGACATCATACTTGATTTTTAATGACAGATAAAATAAACTGAAAGTGTGTCACGAATTCATGAAAATATAACGGTTTATGTGCTCCAATTTGGATCTCAATTAGCTTTGTCGCTTGTTATAAATCCACTTTAATCTCATAACTTCAGATTTCAAAACTCACCTATCATGAAATGAGAGTCATATAAAAGCAATTGAAAAGTAAAGAAACATGCAAAGAAGGGCTGGAAAGTACTAGGGAAAAAAATAGAATAAGAGAAAAAGTAAAAAGTGAGCAGTATGGAGTGTTTGTAGAAATGAAGCAGGTGTGTGTGTGTACCCACATAAATATAAAATATTTAATTTACATGTTTATATTAAATTAGAATATCTATACTGGCATTATTAGGTGATTAAAGCAGTCTCTGGTAGGTTGAACAGAAGAGACACCCAGAGGTGTTAACCCGTTTGATGCCGCTTGATGCCTGGGGAGCCCAAAAACTCGAGTGACAAGGGTTGGTGAGAAAAGCATTCTTGATTCTAGATGCCGGCAGCTGGGGAAGATGGCAGACTAATGTCTAGAAAAAAGCCACCTTCCCCCGAGTCCCTGCTTTTCTATGGAAGGAAATAATATTCTATCTTGATCAAGAAATGTGACTCCTTAAGGCTCAGTTCCTGTCGAGTTGAGAAAAAAGTATAAACTATACCTCCACCCGTGAGATAGCAATTTTTCCATCTGCCAAAATGCCTTCGAATAATTGCAATACATGACTCTTAGGAAGCATCCTGGAATTACTATAAAAATCGGTAAACACATCTCATTCCAGTATCCTGCTTCTGTCTTTCCTGATTTCCTCAGCTAGTTCATTTAGTAGACAGAATTAAAAAAAAAATCTTAACGTTTTCCCCCGCCTTAGATCCCCCCAAAAAGGAGAAAGCAGATTATAGTTTTGAAAGGGGGCGGGAAAACAATGCTACAAGCAGGTACTGTCTACGGCGGAAAATATGGCTTTAAAGGTAGTGAGCGCCTCCTTCCGAAGGGAGTGTCAGAATGCTGCACGGCTGTCTAAAAACAGCCACAGAGGGGATAGCTGTCTGAAGTCTCTCCTTACTCAGAGATTGAGAGGCGGTGACTGTGGAGCGGCTCTCGGGTAGAGAGATGCTGAGGGAACACGCTTCCACCGGCATAACTACCAGGACCCACTTGAGCCACGCCCCTCGGAGAGACCAATTGCGGCGGGTGCTTCCTAATCCGGGCATTGGGCGAGACCCTCTCAGCCAATCATCGGACAGTCACTGGCGATGCCTCTGGTTGCTCTCCAGACTGTCTCACGACGTCATCCTATAGCGCCGGAAGCGGTGCAGCACCGAGGGGAAACGTGGACTTGTCCGTCTCCGCCGTCTGGAGGTAAGGCAGTTGGAGGCCTACCTCCTCCGCTGGCCGGGTTGAAAGCCGTGGATGTGGGCATTAGGCCAAGCCCGCTACTGCCCTTGAGTGATGTGCCTCGAATAATGCTCTCACGGCTTCTTTCCCGGTAGGCGTTGCTGCTCCCTCGATCTCTAGAGCTCTGGGCTTCCCACTTTCCTTCTGCTCCCTTGGGCCGTTTTTTGGTCGTGCTCAGTCTTCTCCCCACTTCGGGTTCGTTCATCTGTGCCCCCGACGCCTGCACCTAACTTGGTAGCAACAAGCGGAGAAAAGATTAGAGAGTGGGCACTGTCCAACCCATGGAGGTGGCTCAGCTTGTCATGATGGACACTGTTTCCTCCAGAAACGCTCCCCGAAAGGAACTTGAGGACCCTTCACTCCTATAAGTCTTCGACAGGTCTTATAGGAAGGCCAGAAGAAGCAAGCCTTTTCCCATTCAGACCAGTGATAGCGGTTCAACAAAGCAGGGATATAATTTCCATTTGGAATTAATGTGGTCCAGGTTTGGAGCTTTTTGGGAATTTGATATATTGGGGATCGTTCGAACACTGGGAACAGGACTGTTCATATGGGGAGACAAAGTGAATTTGTGCTTTTTCATCTTACTTGCACAGTCTGCTGTCAGATGATCTTTTTACGTGTCTTGAGCGCTTTCTTTCATCCTACCTTCACTATCAATAAGAGTGATAATAGTGTGGAATGCTTACTTTTTGCCAGACACTGAGATTTACCTACTTCTTCATTTAGCCCTGGTGGTGTAGAACAATTATTAATGTTGTTTTACAGCTGAAGAAGTAAAGACTTAGATTAAATAATCTGCCACAAGTTACACAGTGATTAGGTGGTGGAGCCACCATTTGAACTCAAGCAGTTGGACTTCACAGGTTTGGATGTTATCCACTATTCTATATTGATTTTATTCAACTGTTCATTAAGCTCCCATTCACCTCACTGTTTTCTACTATTTTATAGAGAAAATTGAGGTCATCAGATGTGCTTTCTTTCAAATTTCTGCCTGTTTTCCATCCTACAAAGTTGTCGAGATTTACGCCCATCTTTACCTTTCCTTAAGTCGTAGAGGATGAGCTGTATCATCTGATCAAAGCAAATCCCTTTATCTTTGCTTCTGACCTTTCTTTTCTTTTATAATCTTACCTATGAGAGCTTGTTTTCATTTGTCTTTTCTGTCCCTGTCTATATCCCAGTCATGTATAAACAAGGTCACGTTTCTCAGATCTCTGGCTATCCCTCACCCCCAAGCCAGAAAGAAAGAAAAAGTTCATGGTGATCCATCTTTCTGTAGCTGTCATCTACTAACTCTTTCCCCCTTCTTATCCAAACTGTTTATAAATTCTGTTTCCATTTCCTCACCTCCCATTCCCTTCTGCAGTCTACCATTCAGACCTATCATTCCCCTGAAATTTTACCCTAAGGTCATCAGTGATTGATTATCAAACCAGATAGACATTTTAAAAAATCATTACTGGATTCCTTTGCTGCTTTTGAAACTTGATGATTCCTCTCACTCCCTTCTCCTTTGCTTTCTAGGATAATATACTCAGCTGATTTAATCAGTGAACATTTATTGTGATACACAGATAAACAAGACACAATGCCTTGCCTTACAGAGCTACTAGTCTAGCTGTTTCCATGTGCCTCGCTCCCTCGTCATTTCTCCTGTGGACAGTCTTTCTTCTCCTCACCTAAAATATTGGGTGTTTCCAAGGCTTGTGACTTTGGCCCATGGTCTTTTCATTTTGTACACACTGCCTGAGTGAGCATATCAACTGATTTGGTTTTAACTTCCTACATGCTCCCAAATAGAAGTTGTCAGCTTAGATCTCTTTTCTGAATTTCACCCTCACCTCAGACTGCTCTGCTGGACAACTCTGCAAGTCCCACAGGCAGTTCAAATTCAGAGGTCCCAAACTGAACTCAGCACCTTCCCTGAACGTATTCTTATCACATCCATCGCTAAGCCCTGATGATTTTGCCCCTTAAATATTTCCCAAATCTGTGCTCTCTTCTTTGCCTTTATTATTGTCCTACTTTAGGCCTCATCATCTCTCACCTGAAATGTGATGGACTTCTAACTGGTCTCCTCACCTCTAGTCCTGTTGCCCATATATCCGTTCTCCATACTCTACATTCTCTCCCAAATCATCTTTGAAAACAAATTTAACTGTGTCACAGTCCTGCTAAATGATCTTTAAGGAGCTGTCCATTCATCTGATTGTTTCTCTCATTCAGCAAGTATTTATTATTTACTGAATTGCAAAATCCATTGGAACTTCTAAAATTTGAGCTTCTCTTCCAGTCACCCAGGGCTGTGCTTCATCTGGACCTGCTTGCGTTTCCAGCCTGTTTTCTGCCCCATACTTTAGGTTGCAGCAACACCAAACTGCTTCTTCATATGCATTGTGTTATTTCTTTGTGCACTTGCCTTTACTGTTCTCTTTGACTGGAATCTTCACCCTGATTCCTTTCTCCACTTCCTGCTCCTCAACTAATTAGGCTGCCCCTTTTCACCTAATTAACCTGGTTTAAATGTAGGACTCATTTTAGGCCCACCTCTTACAGGAAACCTTTCTTGACACCTCCTTTCTCCAAGTCTGGGTCAGGTACTCCACTTTTGTGTTCCCATAATACCCTTCGCACAAACCAGTCATTATATTTACCATGTTTGTTATAATTGTCTTTGTGTTTCTCTCTTCCACAAGACAGCCTTTTGAAGGCAGGTATGATGTATTATACCTGCATCATACAATACAAATGATATGTAGTATCTCTATATGGCCAGCAGTAGAATGGCACAAGGCACATAGTGGGCATGTAGTAATTTAGATAGATCAAATGAGTGAAGACAAAAGGTATATATGGTACAGTGATTACTAACCCATTCTTTGGAATTAATTCAAGCCCTAGCTCTGGCACACATTGGCTGTGTGACTTGAACACATTACTTATCTCCTCTAAGCTTTAAATTTTCTCTTAGAATGAGAGTTGTTGTGAAGATGAAGTGAGATGATATATTTAGCAAGTGCCTAGCATATAGTATAAACTTATAAAGGTATGCTGAACACGAGGGGATACAGAAGTATAAGACCAGGCCTAACCCAGGGCAGTGATCTCCGGAGACCTTTCCTCTGAGTTTCCTGAATGGGGTAGTGATGCAGTCCGTTTACAAGGAGATTTTGTTCTAATCTGGAAAGTAAAATTGTATCCACGTTTAATTTTTAGAGACATGTGAAGGTAAATTGATCATATCCAATAACAAGATGTAGAGAAGAGAAGACAGCCCAGTGAAGGCCTCAGGAAGGAGGTGAGACTTGGAAGATGTGAATGATTTGGATTTCTAGGAGGGAGGAAAGAGTATAAACCAATACCAGGAGGTCATATTAAGAATTACTTATTTGGGAGCCATGATTCAGTACATTGTACCTGAAGGATGTCTGTGTGTGCAAGGATGCATGGAGGAAAGAGAGGGATGGGTAAGTGGGTCTACTTCTATGGAAAGAAGTGGGAGGTGAAATAAGTAACCTCTCCGGGGTTAGAGTACGAGGGCCTTCAAGCCTGAGGGATTGGGATTAATCAGGGCTGGGCAAATGCCCAGGGCTGTGCTGGACATTATGGTAGCCATTAGCCACATTTAACTAGCTATTTACATTTAAAAAAAATCTAATTAAGACATTTAATTCCTGTGTTGCACTAGCTACATTTCAGATGCTCAGTTGTCCCATTGTGGCTATGTTATTGGACAGTGTAGATTTAGAACACTTCCATAATTGCAGAAAATTCTACTCGACGGCACTGTTCCAGGCTATCAGAGTGCTTGGGTTCCTTAAGAAAGAATGAGAATTTCTTTCTGACCAATCCCCACAACTCTGAAATGGATAGTGTGGAGCTGAAAAACACTTAGGATTCATCCACATAGATGGGAGGATGGGATTGCTCAAAGAGAGGAGCAGAGCACCCCACATAAGGAGGAGTACCAAAGGGGAGAGAGAAGGAAGGGAAGAGAACCTGGATAGGATTATCATCTGATCATTCACTTGCAAATATTTATTGTATTCTAGCTGTATGCCAAGTATTGTATTAAGTGCTGGGGGTGTATTGGTAAGCAAAAATGAACTTGATTTCTGCTGCCATAGAGCTTGCAGTTGATGGAGTTTTACTGGGTGGACTATATTGAAGATTCGGGAATGCCCATCCTTATGTGCTCCCTACGTTCTAAAATGCCTCATTCCTACAAGCTGGAACTGGAGGCTAAGATGGGCCAAGGTATTGCTAAAGGTTAGTTGCATAAGCACTGTGCAGTCAGTGTTTCAGCTTCTCAGGGAGAAGTGAATAGGAGCGTCATAACTTCAGAACTTTCGGGGAATGAAGCATGTGAGTATGTGTTTGTGTAGGCAGGAGGGGTGGTTCCTGTTGTCCGGAGGCCATGCAGCCATTCTCTCAGCTGCTCATGGGATTTCTTCCTGTTCTGCTCTCAAATGTGGTCTCTCCAGGCTTTTATTATTACTGTGACTAGTCAGTCATCACATGACTTATTTCCCTGTGCCTAATATAATCCTCAGTCCATTACCTGCTCATTCATCAGTTTCCAGCAAATGCAAACAGATGCCCCACTGAACACACAGCATTTAAAATTGTGACCTGCCTGTAGCACCGTCATCCTTTGAAGCTCCAGATTTAGGATTTTAGCATGAACCGACTCTTCATGCTCACGCCTCAGCTCCTTCACTAAGACCTGCCGAACTGCCTTTTGGACCTCATTCTGACCCACGTTTTATTAACAGACTGCTGACTAATCTTTGCCTTTAGATTTCTCCACTCTAGTTGTGTCCTATTGATTATTAGATCTCAACTTTGCAGCCTAGTGTTCTTTCAACACCTCTGCCTTTTTTGTTATTCTTTGGGGCAGCTCCTCTGGGTCAGCTGGCTTTCCACCCCTCACCCATGGCTTGTCATTGCTGAAATCTGTGCCATCACTTGTGCTTTTTAAAATGGAATGTCCCCTCCCACTCCTTTTCTTCCTTATCAGTGCTCTTATCCTTTTGAACTGGGCAGTTTCTGAAGATATTTCTATGACTTTGTACCCTGAGTGCTCTATGCTCACTCCGCCTTGCATTATCTGGCCTTTGCAGATACTAATGAAACTGATTTTTAAAATCTGGTTTCTTTTCTTTCACCTTTGGACTCAAAGCTTGTGCAGAGGACTTGATAGGTGTTGCTTTGCCTGCAGGGGACATTTCTTAAAGAGAAGGTATTAGAGATTTGAGTATTGATAAGCTTAGGAAGTTAGGGAGTCTAGGGAGGCCTGCTGATCTAGTCCTGTCCTTGCCCATAATCCCATGCTCTCCCTCCCTGGGTGATCTTATCCTCTTACTTTGCCTCAGCGTCTATGGCTTGTTGACACCTCTCAAATATATACATTCAATCCATTGCTCTCTCTCAGTTTCATACCCATACATCTCAGCTGACCCTTGGATCTTCCATAGGCAACTTAATCTAATTGTGTTTCAATCTGAAATCATGCCTTCTTTACCTACTGTTTATCCCCAAATTATGTCTCCTTGTGTATTCCTCAATTTGGTAAATGGGTATTTCCAAATTAGAAGTCCTGGTTGATATCTCCTGATGAGACAAGTAAAGAATTAATAAGAGTGGGCTTATGAGCTGGCAGGATGGGACAGACAAGGAGTTAACAGGAATGAGCTTGTGGGCTAACAGGAATGAGCTAAACATTAACCACTTGGTTCTAACTCCCCTGGCCAGCACTGCACCTACAAGCTTTCACGCACCTTACATCCATCATAGATGGGAACAAAACAGTTCCCAGTCACAACAGCTACCCCCTGCAGACTGACGTCCATCATAGATGGGCACAGGACAGTTCCCAGGAGAAGACAATTGTAACAGCAGCCCCCTGCAAGCTGACAAGCACCGTACATCCTGTGTGTAAAAATATAAAACCCCGGCACTCCTCATCGGTACAGCTGTCCCCCATTGGACTCTGCCCTGGCTAAACTCCTGCCAGTATATATCTGTCTTCCTCCCCTCCCCCTCCCCCCCCACCCTTCTCCTCTCCCGTTTCAATAAATCTTTTCTCTGAATATGCTCGTAGAGTCTCGTAAATTCTTTTACATTCTGGAAACAACCAGGGGTTAATTCTACACCAAGACATCCCCCTTTACTCCTTTGTCATTCCTCAAATGCAGTCAGTAATTCAGTCTGCCGTCAGGATTTCTTCTGGCTCTTCCTTCCCATCCCCTTTGTTCTGCCTTTTTCAGGCAGAATTTCTTGTTTCTTTCTCTTCTGCCGATACTCCACATGGTCTTAAGGGTTGTTTTTCAAATAACACCAGCACCTCTGCTATTGTTTTGCAGGTGGTGTATTGTACAAAGGTGCTGCATTCAGACTTTAGAAACTGTAGGTTTGTGTATTTATTATGACAATCTTCTGGCAGTTGGCAGTAAAATATATTGTTCTGACATCAATATGCTATGATAAGTAAGGAAGGAAAACTTTCTAATTCACATAAAGATGCCTGTGGACCGAAGAATATCTTCTATTGTCATGTCCTTAGTTTTCTGCCAGGCAAACTCCTTCTTGTTCTCTAAAACCCATCATAAATATCCATTATTCATGAAGCCTTTTTTGACACTCCTCACAAGAGTCAGTCATTCTCTTCCCTGGGCTAATGCTGTATTTGATTACTTCCTACTTATAGTGTTTATCACATTAATTTTAATAATTGGTATATGAGTCCATCTGCCCCACTGTACTCCAGGCCCCACAGGATAGGGACAATGATTAATTATCCTTTGATCTTCAGCATGTAACTTAATGCCCAGCACATAGAATCCATCAATAAACATAACAAATATTTGATTAATGAGCATGACTCAGGCACAGAGATGAATGCTTTACTCACATTATCTTATTTAATCCTTGCAACTGCCTCATGAGTCCTGTCATTATCACACTTTACAGGTGAGAAAACAGACTAGGGAGGTGAAGTCACTCAAGGTGGACAGCTGGTGAATGGCATGTGTGGTGGTGCCGGGGTGTGGTCCTGGAGGACTTGTGTTTCTTACTCCAGCGATTCTCTTCTGTTTCGTCTCCCAGAATAATGATGCGGGTGTGCTGGTTGGTGAGACAGGACAACCTGCACCAGCGAATCAAACTTCCACATTTGGAAACAGTCGTGGTTGGGCGCAGCCCAGAGACCAAGATCACTGACAAGAAATGTTCTCGACAGCAAGGTAACTGATCACAGGAGTGGAGAGTACCATGTTTGGTTCCTTAGGACAGTGATAACCAAAGGTGCACATTTCCTGGGTGCTAATGATGGAAAACCTTTTGTCTGCCATAAACAAAACTTGGGAACTGAGCTGGGCCAATACCAATGCCCCATTCACTCCTGATTCTACCCTATGAAAGTGGTTACTTTTCAGTGTTGGGAACAGGCAGGTTCCATCCTGTTACTGTGGGATTGTGGAACTGAGTCCTGCTTTCCCCGTGGAGGGTCCTCGCTGGGCAGTGAGACAATTGAATTCTGGCATCTCCAGGCTGAAACCATGTCTGAGGAGTGATGGGATGGTTCTATCCTTTACGCATTGCCTCACACAGAGAGTGGTGTCTGTATAAGTCTGTGGCACCCAGCTCTTTTAATGTCATCCCTGGGATTTAGTGAAATGAAAGCCTTAGGAAAAAGCCTTACCATGTACCCCATTTTTTACCTGTCAACTTCCAGACATACGCACTGCTGCCAAGCCTCCCACTTGCAGTGTGTTCCTTGGAGTAGGGGTTTCCAAGGCTTGGAGTTGGCAGCACTGATTATTGGTTTTCCCACATGAGTTCATCTAAATGGGGGGAAAAAGGTGTGCTTGAGCTAGCTACACCTCGCTAGACCCAAGATAAGTGGAGACACTTCTCGCTCTCTGCCTCTCTTGTCACAGCAGCAACTGTAGGGACATGTATGTCAGCTTTCCCTCTGCCTGTCTCCCCTGAAGAGCAGGTGTGGTGTCTCTTCTTTATTCCTTGTCTCACCCCAGAAACTTAGTTCGCTTATCTGAACAGGAGTGTTTAATGTTACTTCTTCCTATACATGCCCAGGTTGTTCTGTATGAATATTTCTCTTTCTAGAATATTCTCTCCATTCTTCCTACCCAAGGCCAGCTGAACTTCTGTTTCCCAGGAATGTATCATTTGTCTCTTTCTCTGTTAAAGGAGTTTGATAATTTTATATAATAGTTTAAGCCTGATTCAATTCTGAGCCGAGAGCTTATGAGAGAAGTGGGTCCCCTTTCCTGACTGCAGAGTCTGTGATCCAGGGTGAGTTACGGAAGCCTAGGGAGGCACTTCTCCCTGGGCCAAGGGACTAGGGAGGCGTGTGCGGATTCAGTGAAGCTGCCTCATAGGGATGTTAGCGGTAGCTAAGGGAGTTGCACACTTGGACATTTTATGGAAGGATTTGGAGCTCTAGCTGCCTGCGTAATGGGCAGTTTTGCTCACAGGCCTTTGAAGAAACCCCTGTCAAGTTGCCTCCTAGAGTGAGGCTTCATTGTCTTATAGAGAGAATAGGAGCATGTGCCTGGTTCTTCATGGCATTTGGATTTAACTTTTTTTCAATCTCTTTCAGTACAGTTGAAAGCAGAATGTAACAAAGGATATGTCAAGGTAAAGCAGGTACGTCTGTTTTTAACTTGGACTTCTGTTTTATGCTTGATGATTTTCTTATGCTGTTGACTTTAGAGCATCTGTGCCTGCCATTAAGGCTCCTCTGTCATGTGTGGAAGTGACAGAGTGAACATTAAGTGAACATTAAGCACAGTGCCTGGCACATAGTAAGTGATTAACATAGTGGTGGCCGTATTAGTACTGGTGTTATTGCTATTATTATAATTATTTTCTGATTATTCCATAGGTAGGGGTCAATCCCACCAGCATTGACTCAGTCATAATTGGGAAGGACCAAGAGGTGAAGCTGCAGCCTGGCCAGGTTCTCCACATGGTGAATGAACTTTATCCATATATTGTAGAATTTGAGGAAGAGGCAAAGAGTCCTGGCCTGGAAACGCACAAGAAGAGAAAGAGGTCAGGCAACGGTGACTCTATAGAGAGAGATGCTGCACAGGAAGTTGAGCCCAGTCCAGGACTGGAAACTGGGAGCGACCCTAGCCAATGCTCTGTGCCCCCAAACAAGGGAACAGATACATCTACCAAAAAGGTGAGGGTAGTGTGCTTGATAGATGATACGGATATTAAATGAGATATAAGGACTGCTTAATTGTTTTGTAAAACCCAGACATGCATGAAGAGTCACTTATTAGCCAAGACAAGGGTTATTAACCATGATGAAAGAGCCACTTGTTTGTTTTACTAGTCACTTGGGTAAATGTCCCTTTATAAACTTTCCTCTTGAATTTCTGAGGTAAGCTGCTTGAAAGTAGGGCAATAACGCAGTGTACTTAACATGGAGCTACTAAAATGATGGGTCAGTCAGTTGTATATCTAGAAGGTTAGCCTTGGAACACTTTTCGTAGATTGCGTGGTGCACATCCTGATGTCAAAGTGGAAATCTAGTCAGGCTTAGATGGAGTGGGAAAGGGCCAAAGATGATGGTGTTCAAACTCTGGCATTTCCAGTCTCCGTGTAGACATGCTCCTCTGAATATAGGAAGAAAATGGGGATGGCTTACGGTGATAGTGGCAAAATATTGGGGTAAAGGGAATATAGTTTAATTCCTAAAAATGAACCTTATTTCCAAGTTTGGTTGGACTTTGCTGACATACAGTGTTAACTATGCCAAATTTAACCATTGGCATTCACAATTACATGGTCCTTTTTTGTTTTAGGAACCACTGGGCCACTGGAGTCAAGGCTTGAAGATTTCTATGCAGGACCCCAAAATGCAGGTCAGAATAAAATTTTGGCATTGAAATACATTTCATGTCTTAAGTGACCATTTCACAGAGGTCATAACTACAAGTGAAATCAAAGGAGATCAGTCTTTCTGAATGAGACTTCATCTTATTGGGCTATTTTGTGAGAATAAGTGGCTTTTCCTGTTGTCAGTAAATGAGCACCTGGAATTCTTTGGAGAGAAACTAAGTTCTTCAAATGGATAGTTCCTCTGTCTTGTTACTCCTAAACTCTGGAACTAAACTTCAGGGAACTTTAGTTAACTTTACTGTGTGGTCCCTTTTCAGGGACTGTCAGATAATGTACTGTGGTTGTAGTTACTGGGCTGCCCAGGGATCAATATTCAGGCATCATCCTGGGAGGAGTCTTTGAGTTCTTCTTAAATTACATCCCGGGGTGACTAGGGCTTCTTGGAACACATGTGCATGTGTCACTTGGTCTGCTATGGTAGAGTGGCGAAGGGAGCATTTGCATGGATGCCTGCCAGGGTATCACATCAGATCCTTAGGAGCTACTTTGTACTGTGTATCCTCTGCATATTCTGTGCAATGTGGTGATTGAAAATAGGCTAAAGTCAACTCGATCTGGGTTGGAATCCTAGATTCACCACTTGGTAAGTATGTGACTTTGCGTCAGACACTCAACTTATCTGAGTCTCTGTGTTTTCATCTGTCATAACTGGGATACTAAAACCTTTTGCAGAACATTGGATTGTGGTGAGGATTAAGTGAGTTAATGAATATGACAGCACCTGGCACACAGGAGATGAAGGGTATATGTCCATTTCCTTCTCCTGTGCCCCTCTGCTAGGTTTACAAAGATGAGCAGGTGGTGGTGATTAAGGATAAATACCCCAAGGCTCGTCACCATTGGCTGGTCTTACCATGGGCCTCCATTTCCAGTCTGAAGGCTGTGACCAGGGAACACCTTGAGCTCCTCAAACACATGCACACTGTGGGGAAAAAGGTGATTGCCGATGTTGCTGGGTCCAGCGAACTGCGCTTCCGATTGGGCTACCACGCCATTCCCAGCATGAGGTAAGGCTCGTGGGTAGTGCTGGTGCATCCTGGTTGTGTCTTGGTGCACAGACGGGTTCAGCCTGAGTCTGCTGAGTGTGCTGACAGTCCTGAGGCCCAGGGCAGTGGGGTGGGCTGTTTCCAAGGCAGATGGGTTGAACCTTCCACCCTTCTGCCTGATTTGCTTATATACCTTGAGTTCCTACTCCTGCTGGTAATTCAATCACAGACTTTTTTTCATTCCTCTCCAAGTGTAAACCTCTGAGGGCATAACTATGAACTGGATAAAGCAGCTTTATTGCCCTCAGATGAAGAATTGTGATCAGTGATTTTTTCAGAAGCCTCTAGAACCCCTAAACGATTAAGGACCATTGCTCCGAAGGAGACAAATATCACTTACTTCTGTCATGACAGCTTAGTAGAGCTGACATTTAAAATAAAATGAGAGAAAAGTGTAGAGCCTGTTTTCAGAAGGATTCAGAAAGGAATGATTGATTCTTTTCAAAGAATGCGAGCAAGGCAGAGCTCCACAGTTCTTTAGAGCTACGCAACAACATGAGGAGACTAATGGGATTTCAGTTTTTATGTTGGTGATAAAATATACATAACATAAAATTTAACCATTTTAAAGTGTACAATTGAATGGCATTAAGTACATGTACATTGTTGTGCAACCATCACCACCATCTATTTCTAGAACTTTCTTCATCTCAAGCTACCTCCCATTCCCTCTTCCTCCCATTCTACTTTTTGTTTCTAAGAATTTGACTATTCTAGGTACCTCATGTAAGTGGAGTCATACAGTATCTATCTTTATGTGACTGGCTTATTTCACTTAGGATAATGTCATCAAGGTTCATCTATGTTGTAGCATGTATCAAATTTTTTTTTTCTTTTTTAAAATTTTTTAATTCAAATTTTTATTTGTTTCCCTTTAGGTACTTGTTTTTTATTATAAAGAAATTTTAGCATTTTATTTTTAATTTTTAATTTTTTTTATTAGTTTCAGGTGTACAAAACAATGCAGTAGTTATACTTTTCACCCCTCACAAAGTGAAAATCCCCCTCCCCCAATCCAACGCCCCCCATTCCCGATATCATACATATCTATTATAATTCCATTAACTCCATTCCCACACTATACTCCACATCCCGTGACTATATATATATTAAATTATAGTTGACATACAGTATTATTCAATGGCAGCTTCAGATGTACAGTGCAGTGATCAGGCCCTACACCATCCATAAAGTGGTCTCCCTAACAAGATGTGTCCATCTGACACCTTAAAAAATATTTACAACATTTTTGATTATATCCCCAAACTGTCTTTCATATCCCTGTGGTAATATTGCAGTTACCAACTTATGTTGTCTAGTCCCTTCCCCTTCTCTCATCCCCACCCCAGTCCCATCTAGCAATCATCAGTTTTTCTTCTGTGTCTCAGAGACTATTTCTGTTTACATTGCTCATTTATTCAGTTCTTTAGATTTCACATATAAGTGAGATCATATGGTATTTGTCTTTCTCTGACTGACTTATTTCACTTAGCATACTGTTCTCTAGGTCCTTCCATATTGTTGCAAATGGTAAGATTTCATTCTTTATAGCTGAGTAATATTCCATTGTATAAATGTACCACAGTTTCTTAATCCAGTTGTCTACCGATGGGCATTTCAGTTGTTTCCAAGTCTTGTGTAAATAACGCTGTAATAAGCATAGGGGTGCATATATTTTTCGAATTAGTGTCTTGGGTTTCTCTGGATAGATACCTAAGAGTGGAATTGCTGGGTCATACGGTAGTTCCATTTCCAGTTTTTTGAGATACCTCCTTACTGATTTCCATAATGGCTGCACCAATCTGCAGTCCCACCAACAGTGCACCAGGTTTCCCTTTTCTCCACAGCCTTGCCAGCACTTGTTGATTTATTGATGATAGCAATTCTGACAAAAGTGAAGTGGTATTTCATGGTGGTTTTTATTTGCATTTCTCTAATGATTAGTGAAGTTGAACATTTTTTCATATGCCTGTTGGCCAGCTGTATGTCCTCTTTAGAGAAATGTCTCTTTATCTCCTCTGCCTATTTTTTAATTGGGTTTTTTTTTTTGGTATTGAGTTGCATGAGTGTTTTATAAATTTTGGATATTAACCCTTTATCAGATATATCGTTGACAAATATCTTCTTTCAGTCAGTAGGCTTCCTTTTTGTTTTATTGATGGTTTCCTTTGCTGTGAAAAACTTTTAAGGTTGATGTAATCCCATATGTTTATTTTTTCTTTTACTTTCCTTGGCCACAGGGATATATCATTAAAAATATTGCTCAGGGTAATGTCTGCAAATGTACTTACTATATTTTCTTCTAGGAGTTTTATGGTTTCAAGTCTTAGATTTAAGTCTTTAATTCATTTTGAATTTGTTCTTGTATATGGTGTAAGGAAGTGGTCCAGTTTCATTTTTTTGCATTTGTCAGTCCAATTTTCCCAGCACCGTTTATTAAATAGACTATCTTTACCCCAGTGTAAATTCTTGGCTTCTATTGTAATAGATTAACTGACTGTATATGAATGGATTTATTCCTGGGCTCTCTATTCTGTTCCATTGAGCTATGTGCCTGTTTTTATGCCAGTACCATACTGGTTTTTTTTTTTTAAGATTTTATTGGGGAACTAGGGGACGGGAACAGTGCTGGGGAATCAGGGGAAGGGGAACAGACAAGTTGCTGTCCTTTTGTTCTTCAATCTAGTTGTGAAGGACGTTGCTTTACTGGTCCATGTTGGTATTATCATTGTGCTCTTCCCGAGTGAGGCAGATCGGTCGCCGGCCTCTGGACGGCCGCTCATGGCAGCTCCTGGCAGCTCACACCAGTTGCCGGCCGCTCACGCTGGCTGCCGGTCACACACGGTAGCTTATGGCAGCCCACTGCAGCAGGGGCTGCAGCCTACACCGTCACCAGCGACTCATGGCAGCCCAGCTCCAGGTCGAGCTGTTGTTCACCATCTTAGCTGTAGAGGGCAGTGTCACTGGCCCTCATGTGGGATC